TAATTGGATATCTATCTGAGTCTAATACAGGGGAATGTCTGAGAAGTACTGTCTAGAGATGCGGTGTCTTCCCATGACTCACCTTGCTGACTTTGGCAGGTGTGGGCTGAGAAGCTGGCTGAGTAGGAGCTGGAGCTGACTGGGCTGAAGGCTGAGAAGGATGTGGAGGTGGTGGCTGAGGCTGGGGCTGGATGCCATGGGTGGGGATCTGATGAACCTGGCCAGGAGTTGTCACGTTCACCATGTCATTAGTCTGCACCTCAATTTTGTAGCCAGGAGGCAAGAAGGTATTGAAGCCCATGATCAGGTCAGGATGGCCTTTAAATAACTGGGATACACGGCTAATCACACCTGGAGTATCATTGCTGACAAAAACAATTACAAAGAAAGAGAAGTGATAAAAGGCAGGCTTGACAGAAAACCTATAGGAAAACTAACTTCTATATTTTCTCTAAACAGGAAAACATAATAACCAAGGCCAAAGAACTTAAATTCCAAAGCCACTTAGCTTTAGAGTTATAGGTTTGGTCAAAATTTTAAATAAAATATACATTCATGCACACAATTCTATCAAACAGATGTACAGAGAGTACATCTCTGTAATTCCCAAGCTGGGCCCAATCTTTAATATACCAGTATGACTGTAATGGGTTTTATGTCTAGACTGTTCAGGTGAGTTACTCTCACACAGTCATGCCAGAATAGCAGTGCATCTTACAACAATAAATAAATAAAATCAATTTACCGCTATTACCTCCCTGACTGAAATAAGCACCAAGAAAGAGTGTAGTTAAAATTTTCTAGTACACAGGACAGCCAGAACTATTTCACAGAGAAGCCCTGTCTCGAAAAACCAAAAACCAAACAAACAAAAAGCCTAAAAACTCTGCAATTTCCATCATGTAATCAAAATACAGTGATGCATAGCTGTACATGCCACTTGAGAGGCTGAGGCAATAGGGCTGCCCAAAGTTCAAGGCCACTCTGAACTATATAGCAAGACCCTAATCTCAAAAGCATTCCCCCGATGAAAATAATAATCTATAAAAGGGGGTGATGTGTGTGTATATATATATATTCCCACTAAAAATCTACATGCTGGGTTGGAGAGATAGCTCAGAGGTTAAGAGTACTACTGACTGCTCTTCCTGAGTTCCTGAGTTCAATTCCCGGCAACCACAAGGTAGGTCACAACCATCTGTATTGAGGCCTGGTGCCCTCTTCTGGCGAGTAGGCATATATGCAGACAGAGCACTATATATATATAATATATATAATAAAACTCTTAAAAAATGCCAAGCACAAACTTCAATGCACAAAATTTTTACCTCTGAGATTTAAATTCCTTCATGATATCAAGGAAATCATTGTAGACCTGAGGCTGACTACCAAACTGCAGCTTCACCTGGTCAAGATAGGACAGGGCATCCTCCACCTGAGGCAGGGATACATTGCAAATATGTAAGAAGTCAAAACTTTTTAACAACAGATCATCCATCCTCAAATTAAGACAGTAAGTGAATTATATATGAAGTACCAGAAATTAGTATGAACACTTAAAATATGATTCAAATTTAAAACAACAACAACAAAAAAATCAACTCAAATTCTGTACTCTTGCCATGGATAATTCTATAGGGAATGATCAGTGACTAATAATTATATTACCATAATATTCACGTAGCCATTTTGTAAGTACGTGCTAAGATACAATACAGCACAACCAACACAGGTGGTGAAGATTCAATAACAAGTTAAAATCGTAACTGCACAGAAACTGCTCTTATCTAGTATAACTCCTAACACAATGGGTGTAAAACAACGACCGAAAGTCATAACAGCACATGGAAACAGCATCACTTTCTCTGTCAAAGCAAGGAAAATCAAAAAGGTGATTTATAAGCTGAAACCTAAAGACAAGTACACATTAGCAAACAAGTACATGAGGCCCTGTGAAGAATGTCAGAAGCATCAGCAAGGGAATAATCTCATGTAGTCTACCTGCAAAACTAAAACCAGTCAGTCTGCTAAAAAAAGGATGATTTATATCCCACTTGGGATGGGAGACTGAATGAGATTTCATCAAAATATTAACCATGATGGCACAGTATTTAAAGTTTATATATTGCTTATTCTGGAAATTTTTTTCCCAGTTTTCAACAAGTTAACTGTGGGTAAATGAAAAAGCAGAAAGCAAGCTGTCAGGTAAGAGGAAGGACTACATTAGGGAAAACAAAGATCAGACATTTTTGACACACAGATGCATTTCGGGGCATACTGCTCCTCCCACATGCAAGCCCCTAGATAGAATAAGCTATTATAACCAAATGAAGATAAAACAACTCTCACTTCAGTTTTAATTTACATTGTTTTGTATGTGGTTTCAAACTGAATTACCTAAGTATAAATCAGATAAATTGAAAACTAAGCAAATGCCACACACACACACACACACACACACACACACACACACACACAC